CTGAAATGTATTTTTTATTAATGCATTTTAGATTAAAAGGAATTTTATAAAGTCTCTTTCTTCGGCCATTGTTTTATATACACACACATAATAGTAATGATATAGTATCTAAAAGTTTGAATTAAAAATATTTAATTATGCATTCTTCCGCCTTATTTCATTTTTCTAAATAAAATAAGCGTAAACGTGCCTCTTTGTAATTTTCTTACGATGCCCATGATTTTTGTGTACCTGCGTTAATGAGTTTCGCGTTTGATTAGAATAAGCTGGAGCAAATCGACATAAAAACTCACAATTACAATTACGAGCTTTGAATTATATGATTGAAATTTATAATCTAGAGATTATCTAATCTACAGTAGAATAATCGTTTCTACATTGGTCGCGAAATTTATCATTAAAATGCAAAATTTTACTGATATACTTTCCTAGTCCAGTTTGTTCTAATCGACGGCGAAGCGGAAGTACATGAGGTGTCGGAGAAAGGAAATTGGATTGTTTAAACGGCGTCGAAGATACTATTTTCCTAATCAACGAGTCGCACGAGGAAGAAATCTCGGCACCTCTTCGCTTCCGCGGTGACGATTTTTAATGGACGAAAACAATTTATTGTCCGAACTAGTCGAAGGTATCGGGAGATGTTAACTCTTCGTGGCGGCGATCACATTAACGTCTTTTGTATTATAGTTGTTTTAAAATTCTAGCTGCATATATACATATATAAAACGGTATGAAAAATTATGAGAGAAAAAGTATCGCATCGTTGCATGCAAAGCGCTAAATTTGCTCGAAGTCGTTTTAATTTTAAATTATGAAATACGATCCTTTCCAAACGATATCGATAATTTATAGCGAGTGATATCAATAAATTCGATTTTAAGTCTCGTTAGGAACATAGTGGGAGACGCGATGCAACGGAGTATATCCTTACTTTTTTATTCTTTTATCTGCTCTGACAATGTGCTCTTTCGCAAAACTTGCGTTAATCCCCAGGAGGATCCTGTGAGGCTTTAACGGATCCGGAGATATTCAATATTTCGCGTGCCGCGAAGAGCCGATCGAGCGCGCAGTTTGCGCAGCGCAACTTTTGCGGTGCAAAAGAGGAATCTGTAACGCGCATACCTACACACAAGAACTTCTTAACGTCTGTTCCCACGCAAAATGTTGACTCTGCTGAGCTTACAGATATTAAACGAATATTAAATGTCTTGTTAAAAAAATATATATATGGTGTGTGAAGAATGTATTGACTTACGAGGTCTACGAGAATGAATTCAGATTGCCAATAATTTCAATTAAATTGAATTGAATTTCAGTTAAAATTGACATTCAGAATTTGTAAAAAAAAAAAGAATATAGTTCAAACATTCTGGAAGCTTGGCCTAGGAATAATGTGAATGAAAATGAATTCTTAAATTAGCTTCCTTCGTTTTCCAGGCGAGCAGAAATCCATAAACTCAGTTTTGGATTAGTTCTCGTGGGCCCGGCTTCCTAATAAAACATCCGTCCAATTTTTTTTTTTTCCCTCGGCATTCGGCAAAAATCCTGTGCAAAATAATAAATCACAAACTTGAGATGAGATGCAAATTCGATGAGAGACGAACCGTAAAAACCATTATTACGCTTATTATCAATTATTAATTCATAAAATGTTGATCGTAATATTCGCATTGCAAAAGGCAAATTATTTATTGAGTTATGCGAAATGTCCCATCAACTCAAAATACCTCTCGACATCATTCATCAAAGTTGCGACTTAATAATAATTAGCTACTCTCGCGTGCAAATATCATGCGTGAATCGCTTTCTATCGGAGAAAGGGAAATCTTCTGAATATTTCAAAAAATTATATATTTGATGTAAGAAAGAAATCGCGAATTAGAATTCTTTGCGAATTTATTTTATATTCAAAATTTATTAGTTTCGATGAGGAATAAGTGTCCTCTGTTTATTAATAATCGTGTCACGATTAACACGATGTAGTCGTCAACAGAATTATTCCTTTCGCTTGCAACAAATTTTTATCGTGGATATGTAATTAAAATTAAATTAATGAAAGGTATAAGGTTTCGAATCAAGTAGCGCGACAAGAAAATTACCGATTAAGAGACTAAATGGATTCATAATTTTCCGCCGTTTTTCCCGTGTTAATGTCGACGCATTCATCATCACTGTTACGGAGTTAGACTCGCGATCCTTTCGCCAAGACGATTGAAGATATCTCGACGACGAAAGAAGTCGCCCGATGAGATTATGTTAATCGATATTGCAAACAGAATCGCAATGTGCAATATTCTTTCGTGAGGTTTTATTTTATTTCAGATTTTAAACGGGAATGAGCTTCACCACAAGGGCATTAACCGGCTTGATACTTGATACTTCGCCAAATGAATTGATTCGCCAAGGTGTAATGACCTCTTCTTTTGTTAAGTTTTCTGGTGTAACGTTTCATGTAAGGGTTTCATTTGGAAAAACGAGCGAACGTTCTGCCCATTATTCATACTATAACTATTAAATCAATTTTTTATTCAATCATCAAATATCAATTTTACACGTTCTCTAATTGAATTCTTGCTGTGAATTGTATTATTATCATACTCATTACTACATTATTGATTTATTTAAGATCTTTCTTATGAGATAATAATGGTAAAAGCCATAATTCTGGCATATTAATTATTGTTAAGTGAATACCGCCGTGGTTTATCATGCCGTTATCAGTTTCCAGGAGTTGGCCAGTCATTTACAATCGATACACGAAAGTATGTCAGCTATATAGTCGTGATATTCTCATGATATTCACGTCTCACGCGTGTGCTCCAGTGCACGCCATTGCTCGTTTCATTCACGATCCCCTCGATCATCCTCGATGATGCACTCGTGAGCATCGTAACGACGAGTTAAAAATAACGACGAGCGAACGCGCCAGTTATCAGACCACAGGAAAGGCTCATAGTCAGAGTAAGAGTCTGACCCACAATCTCTAAATAAACAAGTTGTTTTATTTATTCGCTCCTTTGAAAATTATCCACCTAATTTTCATGTTCTCATCAGATTAAAAAATAAAAATTATCTATTATTTTATCGAAAAAAATAGCATCTTGTATAATAAAATTCTACTTTTTTTCTTTTAGAGGTGAAAAAGAAATTTTGTAATAATATATTTTGTAATGCCATTAGACTCATTCGTTAATTCAATAAATTTATATTTTATTTATAACTTGAAGAATAAAAAAAAAATCGTAAAAATCTTAATAAGACAACTCTTTTATAAGACAAGAGATCTCATGACGATAACGGTAAAATCTCTATTGGCCCAAATTGAATTTTATTCGAAATTATCCAATTTCAAGCAATTAAAATTTTCGTTCTGTGAAACGACAGAAACTACATTGCAATCAAACTTTATTATGTTATATTTTTTAATTGTCACAGGTATGTTCATAACATTGAGATTTAAGAACACATCGAAGAAAGAGAAAGACACGGAAGAAAGAGAAAGAAATTACGAAATGATAATAAATCGATTGAATGCGAAACGGTCAGTGTCGAAGATGCTTTCGAACTCTTGCATAAACGTAGGCTATTAGGATTGACTTCGAACAATTTTTCGCACATTACAGCTTACGACAAAGATAAGATTAATAAATCAATTTCGATTCGCTCCCGCGGATTGACGCTTAGATAAATCTCCACGCGTTGATTTTTATTTGAATAAAAGATAAAAAATAAACTGGAAAGAGACAGAGCTGATTAATATGTAGACTATAATTTGCGACTTATTACGAATTATTTACATCGTATGTATAATTTTAAATTAAAAAGGGTGTCGCTAAAAAGGGTTTTGCTAAGGGAATTTTTTCGTTAAAAGAAATTTGATCAAATTTTACTAGCAAAAAGGTGAGATGAGAGTAAATAATAAAGACGGAATAATGCGATAATGCGCGACTTGCTCTTGCTAACTTACCTCGCGGCAAATTAAATGTTACTTTATTTATCTCGTCGCGTCGATTGCGTGTGCCGGATTATAATTTTGCGCGTACGTCGTGCTCGCGTTGCGCAAGGATATTTTTGTATGTCTCCTCCACGCGAGAGGAGGTGTACCGAACCTTTTGCCAAAGTTACGCAACATGAGAGTGATGGCATCTCGCGTTACGTTACCTTACGTTATGTTATACTGAACAATCTAAAATCACCATCTTCCTAGTTACAACATTCCTATTCAAAATCTTGTTCACGTTTCTTAATTTAAGCCACATCGAGAAACAACAGGTCCGCCCTTTTAGCTAATAAATTTCTTGCACGATTTATTTTTCCTTTTTCTTTTTTTTTTTTCTATTGAAGAAAAAAAGAGAAAAGATGAATCATACAAGAAGCTCAGCTAAAAAGAATAAGTCCTAAGATTTCACCAGGATTAGGTGAGTTGATATTATTTTTTCATTAAATTAAGTTGACTTACTGTATAAATTATATAAATTAATTTTATTTGCAGCATTTAAGTTAAGAGTTTCTTTAAGATCGCTTTTCCGATCGGAACGGATATTCAGAAAAAAATAAAATCCAAATAACTTTTGTTAGGAATATTTATTTTATTTTATATTTATAATACTTTCATACTTATAATACATCTGGAAAACCTTCCTCTTCGAGCCATGAGTTCAATTCAATTCATGAGATCGAGATCGCGGAATGCGGTGGGTTCGGCAATCACGGTGGCAACATCGCAACAGAGAAACATTAAGAGCATCCTATTAAAGGTTCAAGAGATCGCATTGTTCATCCGCGTGCCCTTAAACGAGCCAGATCGCGGGGTTGTCGTGACAACAGTGGCCTTTAAATCAGCAAACGATAAATTCACGTGTCGTCATTTCCCCGCGTGCGCGCTCGATACATTTGCACTGGTCTCGTTTTACACATATGTGTCATTTTACTTTTACGGTAGTAATAAAATCTTGCGAAAACTCGATAAGAAAAATCGATAAGAAACAAAGCTAAATGAATTAATCACGAACAATTCAATCCACGAAAGGGGGACAATAAAATAATGATTCAGAAAGAAAGAGAAAGAAGAGGGGGAGGAGAAGGAAGAGAGAGAGAGAGAGAGAGAGAGAGAGAGAGAGAGAGAGAGAGAGAGAGAGAGAGAGAGAGAGAGAGAGAGA